CATTGGGTCTTCACTGCTGCACGTGGGCTTTCTCCAGTTGTGGCGAGCAGGGGCTACTCTTCACTGGTGCGCGAGCTTCTCATTGTGGTGGCTTCTCTTGTTGTGGAGCATGGGCTCTTGGCGCGCGGGCTTCAGTAGTTGTGGCACGTGGGCTCAGTAGCTGTGGCTCGCAGGCTCTAGAGCGCAGGCTCAGTAGTTGTGGTGCACAGGCTTAGTTACTCCGTGGCATGTGGGATCTTCCTGGACCAGGGATCGAAACTGCGTCCCCTGCAATGGCAGGCGGATTATTAACCACCGCGCCACCAGGGAAGTCCCGAGGTAGCTATTGTTAAAACCTGGTTTGCCCCCGAGGAAGCTGATACTTCAAGAAGTCATATATCTAATATGCAAAACCGGGTTGCAATTCATGTTTTTTTTGACTCCACTGCCCATGTTCTTTCTGAAAGTCATCTAATCAGCCAGGACCTCAGCAATTCAACCAGATAATAACAAAAAGTCCTTTTTGAACTTATATTTGACGTAACCGTTCATATTAAAAGCTATCATGTTTCAATGATTTATTGCTGTGTAACAAAGCACTCCAAAATGCATCGGCTTAAAACAGCAACCGTTATATTTGTTCACCGTTCTGTCATTTGGCCGGGGCTCTGCTGGGCTGTTCTGTTTGTCGCGTTTGGGGTTTTCCACGAGACTGCAGTCAGATGGCTTTGTTCGCCTGTCTGGTGCCGCAGTGGGGATGGTGGGGAGGCTGTGACTTCTTGCTCTTTTTCTTTCCATGTGGCTAGAGCGGGCTTCTTTTCAAGGTGATTAGATCCTAAGAGTGAGCATTTCAATATAGATAAGCCCCAGTGTGCAAGCACTACTAAGCCTCGTTTGCATCATCCTTGCTAATGTCCTACTTATTGGCCAAGCCCAGAGTCAATAAGGAAAGGCACTCCAGAAGAACATGAATATTGGGAAGCACGGTTCATTCAGAACCACCAAAGTGATGGTCTACCACTTGTGATATATACAAGAGAAAGGTAAAGGGATATGTATTTAAGGCAAAAACTGCTGTTTCAGATTCTTTGAAGGATACTGGATTCAAAACATTTTACTTTAGAATACTATGCAGCCTCTAAAAGTCATGTATTACAATACTGAATGAGAGAGGGCAGACAGCAGAAGAAGAACTACAATCCTGCAGCCTGTGGAACAAAAAACACATTCACAGAAAGACAGACAAGATGAAAAGGCAGAGGGCTATGTACCAGATGAAGGAACAAGATAAAACCCCAGAAAAACAACTAAATGAAATGGAGATAAGCAACCTTCCAGAAAAAGAATTCAGAATAATGATAGTGAAGATGATCCAGGACCTCGGAAAAAGAATGGAGGCAAAGATCGGGAAGATGCCAGAACTGTTTCAAAAAGACCTAGAAGAATTAAAGAACAAACAGAGATGAACAATACAATAACTGAAATGAAAACTACACTAGAAGGAATCAATAGCAGAATAACTGAGGTTGAAGAACGGATAAGTGACCTGGAAGACAGAACGGTGGAATTCACTGCTGCGGAACAGAATAAACAAAAAAGAATGAAAAGAAATGAAGACAGCCTAAGAGACCTTTGGGACAACATTAAACACAACAACATTTTCATTATAGGGGTCCCAGAAGGAGAAGAGAGAGAGAAAGGACCTGAGAAAATATCTGAAGAGACCACAGTCGAAAACTTCCCTAACATGGGAAAGGAAATAGCCACTCAAGTCCAGGAAGTGCAGAGAGTCCCAGACAGGATAAACCCAAGGAGAAACACGCCAAGACACACAGTAATCAAATTGGCAAAAATTAAAGACAAGGAAAAATTATTGAAAGCAGCAAGGGAAAAACGACAAATAACATACAAGGGAACTCCCATAAGGTTAACAGCTGGTTTCTCAGCAGAAACTCTGCAAGCCAGAAGGGAGTGGCATGATATACTTAAAGTGATGAAAGGGAAGAACCTACAACCAAGATTACTCTACTTGGCAAGGATCTCATTCAGATTCGACGGAGAAATCAAAAGCTTTACAGACAAGCAAAAGCTAAGAGAATTCAGCACCACCAAACCAGCTCTACAACAAACGCTAAAGGAACTTCTCTAAGTGGGAAACACAAGAGAAGAAAAGAACCTACAAAAACAAACCCAAAACAATTAAGAAAATGGTAACAGGAACATACATATCGATAATTACTTCAAACGTGAATGGATTAAATGCTCCAACCAAAAGACATAACCTCGCTGAATGGATACAAAAACAAGACCCAACAGAGCCAAAAATAAATAAATAAATAAAAATAAGCTATCAAGTTAGATGTGAGATAAATAAAAAGGGGAAAATATCTGCAGAGTCTGTACTCAGATTGCTGTGCATATGTTTTTAAGTTGTCACTCCAATTAAAATTTTAAAAAATGTCTATTTAGGTCTTCTGCCCATTTTTGGATTGGGTTGTTTTTTTGTTATTGAGCTGCATGTAAATTTTGGAAATTAATCCTTTGTCATTTGCTTCATTTGCAAATATTTTCTCCCATTCTGAGGGTTGTCTTTTGGTCTTGTTTATGGTTTCCTTTGCTGTGCAAAAGCTTTGAAGTTTCATTAGGTCCCATTTGTTTATTTTTGTTTTTATTTCCATTTCTCGAGGAGGTGGGTCAAAAAGGATCTTGCTGTGATTTATGTCATAGAGTGTCCTGCCTATGTTTTCCTCTAAGAGTTTGATAGTTTCTGGCCTTACATTTAGGTCTTTAATCCATTTTGAGCTTATTTTTGTGTATGGTGTTGATTCACTTTGTTATAAGGCAGAAACTAACACACCATTGTAAAGCAATTATACCCCAATAAAGATGTTAAAAAAAAAGATAGATTCCTTACAAGCAAATTAAAAAAAATTTTTTAAAAAAGATAAATAATTGCTAATGCAATGGGTTTAAAAAAAGATAAATAATTGCTAATGCTCCTGGGTCGGGGACAAAGGACTTTAGCACTCGTGGCACAGCAGGTACCTGTTCCCTTTGTCCCCCCAATGCCACGGAGTGGCTCTGGGTGGATGCTATGCACGAAGAGGGTTTGCATCACAGCTGAGGAACCCCGAGTTTAGAGAACCCAAACATTTGTAATGGGTTGCAAGCAAAGCTCACTGAATTTTGCCCAGAGGGAGGCACTGTTATTATTAGACCAGACAGCAATCAAACCTGCCACCTGCCCCAGAAAGGGACGCTATCTCTGTCTTACAAAACTATCTACTATCTTCTGCTTGCTATATAAACATCCTTGAAAAGATTATCCAGAACCAAGGCTCTCAATGTCTCTGCTCATGAGATGTACAGAACTGCAAGAGACCCGTGGAGAACTGTCTCCCCAAATAAGTCCATTTATATAATTCAAGTTAAAATACAATATTTAAGTCACATACAGATCCTTTTTTAATAAGAGTCCCTGGGTGTGGAGAGAAGGGAACCCTCCTACACTGTTGGTGGGAATGTAAATTGGTGCAGCCACTATGCAAAACAGCATGGAGGTTCCTTAAAAAACTAACAATAGAACTACCATATGATCCAGCAATCCCACTCCTGGGCATGTATCTGAAGAAAACCATACTTTGAAAAGATACATGCACCCCAATGCTCATAGCATCACTGCTCACAATAGCCAAGACATGGAAGCAGCCTAAATGCCATCAACAGATGAATGGATAAGGAAGATGTGGTGCATATATACAGTGGAATACTACCCAGCCGTAAATAAAAGAATGAAATAATGTCATTTGCAGCAACAAGGATGGATCTAGAGATTATCATACTAAGTGAAGTAAGTCAGAGAAAGACAAGTATCATATGACATCAACTATATGTGGAATCTAAAAAAATGATACAAATGAACTTACAAAACAGAAACGGGGGGGGCTTCCCTGGTGGCGCAGTGGTTCAGAGTCCGCCTGCCGATGCGGGGGACACGGGTTCGTGCCCCGGTCCGGGAAGATCCCACATGCCGCACAGCGGCTGGGCTCGTGAGCCATGGCTGCTGAGCCTGTGTGTCCAGAGCCTGTGCTCCGCAACGGTAGAGGCCACAGCGGTGAGAGGCCCACGTACCGCAAAACAAAAACAAAAACAAAAACAAAACAAAACAAGAAACAGCAACGGAGTCACAGACACAGAAAACAAACTTATAGGTACCAAAGGGGAAGTGGGGGGAGGGATAAATTAGGAGTTTGGGTTTAACAGATACACACTACTATATATAAAATAGATAACCAAGGTCCTACTGTATAGCAGAGGGAACTGTAATAAATATCTTGTAATAAACTATAATAGAAAAGAATCTGAAAAAGAACATATATATATACACACACATCTATAAACCTGAACCATTTTGCTGTACACCAGAAACTAACACAACACTGTAAATCAACTACACTCCAATAAAAAAAAAAAGACTCCTTGATTTAACTGCTTTTTGTTGCTGTTGTTTAACTGACCAATGGTGCTGAAAAATACGGTGTTAAATAAAACTGCTTCTATTACTTTTCTCTTGGTTCAAGCTTCCCTCCTAAAAACACTTTTTTAAAGGAGATTCCCATATTAATAAAATCATTGGAAATTCCTTAGATATTAAGGAGTGTGTGCTGAACCCATTATTACAAATGATTAAGTACTGTTAATTTTAACATTTTTTTTGGTAATAACTCTATTTTCACCAATGGAATCTTATACTTTGTGTTTCTAGAAAATAAACATTGTCTTTTTCTGTCCATAAAACCAAAGCATTAGAAACAACTCAAATATTCCAAGCTACTAAGTGCCTGGCAATCACAGTTTTGGGGTAAGTGAAAACAAATATCAGAAATTTCTAATCTAGGTACATTTGAATCTTCAGATAAACTGAAAGCTGCTATTCTCTCCAAATGTCTGCAGAGTAGGCATAAGTTTTCAGCTGAGTACAAGAATTACAATTAAGTGTAATTAAATTGATTGTAACTTACTAGAGTCAGAACCATCTTCCTGAAGAAGGAAAGGATCATCCCCTACGGGATGGTTCAAGCTTAGCTGCACAGTAGTATCAAGTCATCGAGGGTCTTTAATAATCCTGATACTTGGATGCTCCGCAGGCCAATTAAGTCAGAATCTCTGGGGGCAAGGCCCAGGCATCAATTTCATTTTCTTTAACTGAGGTGTAATTGACATATAGAATTATTAGTTTCAGGTGTACAACATAATGATTCAATACTTGTATATATTGCCAAATGATCACCACTATAAGTCTAGTTAACATCCATCACCACACAGTTATACATTTTTTAAAATTAATTTCATTTTCAGCAATATTTTAAAAAGCTCCTTAGGTGGCCCCATATGCAACCAAGTTTACCAACTACTAAACTAGAGGACTTAGCCTTACAGTGTAGTTCTCAAACTTCAGTGTATCAAACCCCGTGCCTGCCACACCCCCACACCCAGAGTTTCTGATTCAATAGGTCTGGGGTGGGGCCCGAGAATTCGCATTTCTCCTAAGTTCCCTGGCAATGCCACTAGTCCAGGACCACACTTTGAGAACCACTGCCCTACAAAATTACCATCACCTTAAAAACACCCATGACTCAGGGTTGTTATTTTAAATCTCCCCACGTTAGCATGACTATGAAAAAGGACCAGGCAAATGCCGTGAGTGCAACGAAAGACCTTTTTTTGGAAGAAGGAAAGCGAACAACCAAATCTGCAGAAGCAAGCATTCCAGGTTGATGGAAGTTACCGCACCATATTTTATGCTTTCTCTCACTGCCCTGAGGCTTAATGATAAACTCCTTCACCCTCGTGAGATACTGATCAGAACGTTGGAGGAAACACCTGGGCTACAGGAAACACCTCCAGCAGCAGAAACAAGAGGCCCGTTTACCAGCCACAGCGTTTCTTCTAAGGAACAGTGTGACCTTAACTGAGCCGGTCACTTCGTCTCTTTGGGCCTTAGTTTCCTCATCTGTAAAATGAGTCTCAAATGTTCCATCTAACTCCGAAATCTTATCAATTCCACGACATTTGACAAGAGAGGTGAGTTGCTCTACGGTTTGACCACGTTAGACTCTGGCCATCTTATGAGAGTTCAATCACGGAAGGGCCAGGATACCCACCACCTGCAAGGCGCACGGGAATCTCTGCTCTCTGGATGTCACCGTTGAAGTCAGACTAAAATTCAGTCACCTCTTTAAAGATTACCTTAATCAGTTTCTTGGTTCAAACAAAAACGTGTCAGGCATATGGATGGATCATAAAGTAAGTGGCTTTCGTGTCAGGCATATTTCTTTTTTTGACCAGAACAACTCAGTTTGATAGCTAACAGGCCAAAAGAATAATAGATTCCACAAACTTCTGTGGCCTTGTCTTTTCCCACCCCAACCCTATTTTTTATATATAGGGTGATGTCTCCCATTTCCTTCTTGAGGGGCCTCTATTCTTCCCAAAGTCAGAATTATGCTTTTCAAACATATATCCCCCTTTTTATTTCACACAGATGATAATATGCTGCACATACTTCTTTGCTGTGTTTTTTAAAAAGCGTGTTCCGCCTTAGCAACGGTTCCCCAGCTGTGCAGTAGGGATCTCACCCCAATTCATGGCAGACGTAGGGATCGGTGTTTGAAGCCCTGCATCAAAAGGATAATGCAATTATTTTGGTGTAAAATTTCATGTCGTAGCAAACACTGGTGTTTACGTTTTTAAAGTGACTTATTGCCATTGTCTTATGCACTTCGTTCTAAAATGCTTTTCTACTTGAGAGTGGACCAGGGGCCAGGGGCCAGGATGGATCTCCTCTGGAATTCTGACCTGAACGTCAGGAAGAGGATTAAGGAAGAAGATCCTGGTTAAAATAAATCAGTGGTTCTCAACCGGGGGCGATTTTTGCCCCCAGGGAATATTTGGCAGTATCTGGAGACATTTTTTGGGTTGTCACAAATGTGTGTGTCTTGGCCCCATGACGAAGAATTATCTAGTGCAAAATGCCAATAGTGCTGAGCTTGAGAAACCCTGAAATAAATTATCCTGATATACACACTATTACATATAAAATAATAAGGACCTAATGTATAGCACAGGGAACTCTTCTCAGTACTCTGTAATGGCCTATATGGGAAAAGAATCAAAAAGAGTGGATCTATGTATTTGTATAACTGAGTCACTTTGCTGTACACCTGAAACTAACACAACATTGTAAATCAACTATAATCCAATAAAAATTTTTAATAAATAATAAATAAATATGTGCAATTCCCCTCCCTGAGGGGAGGTGTCTGACCCCAGGGGAAAGCTACCGCCCCTTCCTTCATCCAGCTTCCCTCCCCCAAGCCCATTCTGAACTGCTTCCGTCAGGGACTTTGAAACGTTTACTGAAGATAAAATTGGCTCTGAGGAAAATATGTAATAAACTTAAGAAGCTAATAATCATAGGAAAAAAATGATTAACAGCAGAAGCACACCAGAAATGGCTATGAAATCAATAGAGTATCTTAAACAGGCTTTTAAGCTGGAATAGATGTAGTCATGCACCTTTTAAACAAGCGCTCCTTTGTTCTATTTACATTTTAATGCTGAGTGTGACTGTCTTGGTAGACTTGACATCAATGATGCTGACTGTAGGTTTTTTTTTTTTTGCAATACCGAAAGAGAAATACACCAACAAAAATACTTTAAAAACTCCCAAAAAACAAAACAACAAAAACCCCGCACTGTTGCCCTTGCTCCGAATGAATGATCATGTCTGCAAGGGCAGGGCGATCATCCTCCCATGTTGCCTACATCACATGCTTGTGTATAAAACAGTCCGTGTAAACTCTAGTGGCTTAATACATGTAAGCCTTGGTCACGTATTTATCTGGTATTTACCTCAGAGCCCCATCCTAACACAACGGTCTGCTAGTAACTGCTCCATCAGGAACGAATGGGTGAGTGAGTGTGAGACCCCCTCCTTCACTTTGCCTGTGGAAGAAATCATCAAGGCAGCCCAGAAGACTACAGATACAAATCTTCCATTTGACATCTGTCTGAACCAAAATGTTCATAAGAGTCAAAAGGCAGGGGAGCAAGAGGTATTTCTCAGATGAATTATAGTTCCTATAACTTGCACACATAAAACAAAACACCTCCAAATGACAAGGCTCAAGACTGCATTTACGGTTGCACCAGTGCAAGTCAGTAAGAAATTACTGACTCATCAAAAACCAGCCTTCTTCTGCCAGCTGGGGTTCCTCCATGTGCTCTTTTATTTTTTTTAATCTTTTAAAAATTTATTTATTTATTTTTGGCTGCGTTGGGTCTTCGTTGCTGCATGTAGGCTTTCTTTAGTTGCGTCGAGCGTAGGCCACTCCGCCACAGTACGTGGGCTTCTCATTGTGGTGACTTCTCTTGTTGCGGAGCACGGGCTCTAGGCACGTGGGCTTCAGTAGTTGTGGCACATGGGCTCAGTAGCTGTGGCTCGCAGGATCTAGAGCGCAGGCTCAGTAGATGTGGCACACGGGCTTAGCTGCTCCACGGCATGTGGGACCTTCCCGGACCAGGGCTCGAACTTGTGTCCCCTGCATTGGCAGGCGGATTCTTAACCACTGCGGCACCAGGGGAGCCCTTTTATTCATAGGACACTGTTCATGAATTGTGTCTTCATTGAAGTGTTGCTCTTTGAAGGCTATGAAAGCCGTCAGTGGGGAAATGAACGCACAGTTACTGACGAGAGGGGTCTGTCCCTTTCAATACTCTAGGAGGCTGCTCTGCAGCCCTGGTCCTAAAAACAGGATATTGAGGCTTCAGGAAATTTCGGGTCCTTCCTTGGTTCTTTAGACGAGAATACTGTCAGTGGCACTTCCTGAGTTCATTCTATAGCAAACACACTAAAATGTGCCTCCAAACAATTCCTCTGATGATTTGACAAAGTGACACAAGTTCGGTCTAGGTCCTCACAATTTTTCTGTAACTCATGTTCAGTCTTAGCTTCGAGGCAAGAAGATAGTAGATTTAACACTCTCTGCATAGGGAAAATCAGAGAATCATGCATCCTCAGACACAGAAGGTCAAGTACTCACAGACGTAAGAGTCCCTCAAAGCACAGAAGGGTGACGTCCATCAGCAAATATTTAGGGCACTCTGCCTTCTGCCTGGACTGTTCCCCGGGGTCTCTAAAGTCCACTTATGGCTTTAAAGGCAGCTCTGCTCAAGGACTGGCAGTCAAGCCAGGTCTTGAATGCGTTTCCTAAAGGTGTCCCCCCATTTTCCTCTTTTATCTGTGACTACGGCCTTCAGCTTCTACAGTTAATTGACGATGGATTTTTTTAAAACTGTGACGCCACAGCTCGTTGGCACATTGTTGGGCTTGTCATATAGCTTCCTTTGTGTTGCAACTGGCACAAGATCAGAGCCACACTTGTGAGGTTCCTTAGCCAAGGTGGCGCTGGGGATCCAGAACTATCCACATTAGAAGAAAGAGAATTAGAGTGACCGAGCACCCTGGCGTGCCCAGGACTGCAGGCTTTCCTGGGATGCAAGACTTCCAGAGGTAGCACTGAGAAAGTCCCCTGCAAGCCCAAACAAGTTGTTCACCTGATGGAGAAGGAACCATCTTTGCCACATTAGGACCACAGCCTTCAGTTAGTAGTAGTCCAACTATATCTAGCATAGAGGTCATGGCCTGTTAAAACTGCTGGGGACTTTAGCAATCATCTACCCCCTCTTTTTCACAAAGATGCTCAGACTCAGAGTGGTATAGACATTTCCCCCAGGTCACACAGCTTGCTGGCAGCATATCAGGAACCAGACCCTAGATCGCCACAGTCCCAATTTTGGGCACTTTCCACACTGCATTACATTTTTTGCTTTGCCAGTCTCTTTCTATTGCTCTTGCAGAATGAGTTCAGCTGGGTTTTCTTCTGACCACAGGACTTAGCCGTTAGAACAGTGAAAACTGCTGTTTATATTGGGCACTGCTTTTTTTTAATGTTGGGATAGTGAATGGAATCAGGTTGCTGTAAACAGCCTCAATTGGTCACCATCTCCATTACCACACGTCATCCATTCCTGTCATTTCTACAGCCCAGCAAAGTGTCTTCAACATGCAACCATTTGTCATCACCAAATGCTACCCTTGGTGGAGACGGTCACGTGCCAGGACAATGTACCCCTGCGTGGGTGGATCGTGTTTGTGACTAGCTCAGAGGCACATGGATTAGCATCTAAAAGTGCACGAAAATCTTGCTTCTTCATACTTAGATTCTTTCAAAGGGAAGAAATAAGATGCCTGTTCTAAAAACTGAGGTTAATGTACACAACAATCGGTTCTAAGCTCTTTACAGATATCATCTCATTTACTCATCACATCCTCTGAGAGAGGTACTATTACCCCATTTCACATACAAGGAAACTGAGGCACAGGGGGGGTAAGCAACTAGCCCAAAGAGGTTTTGTTGTTGTCGTTGTCTTAACTCTAGTAAGTGGTGGAGTCTGTTTCTGAGCATCACGCTCTTTCAGGAGAGAAAACAAGAGCTCAGAGGTGACAGTAGATCAAACCAATCCAGAATGTGGACTTGGAAAGCAAGGGAAAAGGTGGAGGGCTGTGTTCCCGGGGTGCAGGAGATAAACCAATTAGGTGAAGATCTGCAGTGAAAAGGAGCGACTCTGTCAACTTCTGCATGCAATGTACACAAAGGATAAGGCAGTACGTTTCAGCCCGAGTTCCATCTTCATTGGCTATCCTCACTCTAACATAGTAAGTACCAGACACCCTGTGCTGTCCTGCTTCAGTCCATGCTGGAGTACAGCCAGTGGTTCTGGAAAATTCTGCCGTGAAGTACCATCGGTAACAGCAGTCCCTTCACAAAGCCCTTTCTCACCTCCCCAGCCTCATTCGACCCTCTGAACCTCTTAGTGTTGCATCTTCCCCTTGGACGCTTAGCCTGTCCAGCCACTAGGTCAGCTGGTGGGTTGGATAGGACCTGCCATATGAAATCAAACACTTCCGAGGAGGTGTGTGTGACAGGATTAATGAGGTGAAACTGTAACGCTGGTGACGTGATTTTGGTGTTTCCATCTCTCCATTTTCTTCCTCCCTTCTATTACATTTTATCCTGTTTTGTCTTAAAACTGTGATCTTCTCCAGTGGACTTGGTTTTAGTTCTTTATATTTCACTGGGACTTTTTAAGACAAACTGTTGTCACTCTCAGCATTACCCACACTTTAAAGCTGAGCTTTCCTGGGAGAACCATAATTAGAAGTTTACTTTGTCCAGGACTTCCCTGGCAGTCCAGTGGTTAAGACCCTGCACTTCCACTGCAGGGGGCGCGGGTGTGATCCCTGGTCGGGGAACTAAGATCCCACATGCTACACGCAGGGTGTGGCCAAAAAGAATTTTTTTTACCTCGTCTCCACGAGAGTAACTTAAAGCATCACAGAATAGGTGACAGTTCCTGGTGCTTCTGAAATCAAAGCATGTGAAAAACTTCTATGGGGCCTACATTTAAGTTTGGTCCATTCTAACCTATGGGTATTGAACACGACTACTCTGATGTATAAACACACAGTGCAATCTTCAATTTTATAGGAAACATCTAGCATTCTTACGTGGCCCAGATATTATGCTGTGGGGCAAGGAGAATGCTCATCGGTTCTTCGGAAACACCTTCAAAACGGAGAAGAGCTGACTTCAGTGAACTTCTGGCTTTTCTGTAACTTTATATGCTGGGCTACAGCCATGATGCGGCAAACACTTCAAGGTACCCATCAGAACACATCACTCCATCAAAACATATTACTCCACAATGATGATACAAAGTATGAAAGAAAGAAGGAGCATGATTTTATTGAAATGTTTTTAGTACAGTGTTGGAAGATCTTCGAATCCTATTCTAAACCAATACAAGCACTGCAAATGACGTAGTTCCTCAATCTATTTGACATCATATCTACCAAAGGAAAGTTATACTACGAACCTCTTTAAGTTGGTTAATGTAACTTAAGTTGGAAACTGAGCAACTTTGGTATATTCATATTTCTCTGGCTCCCCTTTTTGGTTAGATGTACGCCAAGTCAACTGCCATGCAGCAGAGTCAGACAGGAGCAATATATTTGGTGGTTTCACTGAAATGTTTCCGCATAAGCAGCAAGGGATGCACAAGTTCTGGGATTACGCTGCTCTCAAGGCTGTCTTCATCATCTTTTTTGAACTGGACCATCAAATAGTTAAGGGCTACATTGCCGCCGTGCAGGGCTACCTCTAGTCTATTTAGTTGACAGATGTACCAGAAGTACTTTAAAATACAAAAGTGGAGATAAATAACCATAGAAACAATCAGTTCTTAATTCAGAGAATGACAATACCGATTTTTATCTCTTTATCTGAAGATCATTATTTTAAAACTAGCTCTATGTGTTAGACTCTTAAATCTTAGATGAAATGACTACCTTTAAATCAACTGGTTTTAGTCATTGTCATCATGTCCACACTGGGATGCGAAGCTGTCTACCTGCGTGCGTTCATAACTACATTTTCATTTCTCTATGCATAGAAATTTCAAGAAATACAGATATCACTCATTTGTCCAAAATAAAAATTACATACATCTAAATAGGCTCTTCACATATCTCAAATCAACTCTTGTCTAGATAACGTCCATCGTATTGAATAGCTGACCTTAACCAGGCTACACTAGGATTTTTTCTCAAAAGCCCTCTTAAGGTACAGCAAAATGCTAGTCTCTGCGATGACTAAGATGATACTTTTAAACTTTGATTCACCCTCTGCTGTACTGAAGTCTGAAACCTTAAAGACTGTTATTCAGGTTTGTCAACAACTTAAACAGATTTCATTTTTCCACCCACAGAATTTAGATCAGAGACTTTCTTCTCTCCAAGTTTTGAGATTCAGCAGAAGGAGATTGTTATTTATTATTCCTGGGCTTTGTCTGTGCAGGCACATTTTCTTCTTTGGGGGTGGAAGCGCTCAGTTGGTTGTCCACCAACGTGCACTTAGGAAAATTCAGAGTTGATGCTTGCCGCCTGCCACCGGAGATGGGCGCGCCTCACTCAGCAGCCGTCAAAAGCCACCTGTGGATAAAGCTATCTCCCCTCCACCATCACTCCTGGGCCACCATTTGAACATTAACTTCATGGAGCAACTAATGTTTCCTTATTTGTCCTTTTTTTTCTAGGCCTTTCTCACCCACACTTTTCAGGTAACTGCTTTAGTTACAATAATCTGTTGCCTAGAAGGCTTGATACTTGTGAGTACAAAAGGCAAAAGACCATGAGATCAACACTAAGGAAATAATATTTAAATATGTATTTGGAGACACCCACAAACAATTCATCTTTTTCTCATGTTAAAAGCAAAACAGAGATCAGACTAGTAAATGTGAGGGGACTTAGCGAAGAAGTCTTTGTTGTGACGGAAATCCACAACATGAAACTCTTGGAAAAAAGGCAAAGTAAAAGCTAGAGCTAAAAACAGGACATTAAAAAAAACAAGATGGCAGGACATGAGGTGCATCTGGGATGGACACAGCATGAATGTGACAGTGTACTTGCAGACTACCTCAAAACAGTTTCTCTGTCAGCTCTATTGCTGAGCATAATTTTGGAATTTTAGAACAAGGTATTTCAGATAAGTGACAGTTACGATTTTTAGAAGTGGCAATAAAAAAATACTGAGCTACATTGCCTCTGATATGTCTAATGTTTACCAAAATTAAACGTGTCAGTGGCCATCTTCAGCTACATAAAATTTGGTCCAAATTAAGCATAATAACCAAAATGGTTTCTTGGAAACCTGATCACTAAAACAAATACTCAAAATTCAGGGTATTAAAAATTCTCTAAGGTTGACTTAGAAGCAAAAGGCTAATTCTCTACAGGGTTTCACCCAAATGTCCACAGGCATTATCATTTTATATTTACACAGAGGCTTTAATCTGAGCTGACCTTTGGTAACCCTGAAATACATAAACTGTGAACTTCCACAATGGAATTATAAACTTGAAAGTTGTGGCCTCAAAGCACTGACAGAACAAAGGAAAAAAAGGTCACCTATCAGAACAAATCACGATAACAGAAACATTTCTCATTTAAGACTGTTCACTTAAAGATCAAATAACCACTGCCCTCCCCACCAAACTGAAAATAAATGGTCGGGAGCTTTAAGAGGGGGAAAACCAGTGGCCCTCGGAGTATACAAAGATCTGATGCTTTTGCATTAATATAACTACTTAGTCCTAAAGCTAATAATCAGACAAATGCACGCAAGTCAGAAGCCAGAGTAGGCTTGCTTCCACACCTCACATCCTGGATTTACAGTGGGACGTGGCTGAACAGGTAAGACACAGATTCACCGTTGTGGGTCCTTCGAATCGCCTCGGCCAGGATCATCGAAATGTCAATAACCTAAACACCAATGAAAAGACAGAAAAGAGGAGAAGAAAGTGGGACATCTCAGTGATGTTTAATTGGAAACTTAGAAGCCAGAAAGCCTAGAAACGCTTTCTCCAGCACATAAGATGTGCTACTATCGAACCTCCCCACAGCCATTTCTTCTGAGAGGACTGACAGTTTTGGGTCTGTCTTCAAATTACAATCCTGTACGGGATCCTGGAAGTGAGATTTTTCAGTGCAGATACTTCAAAGGCTTTTCAGGGCCGCTGTTAACCAGAGACATCCTTTACTTTCAGTGTTTGTTGTTTTAAAATTAATTTTACTCAATCATCATGTGGAAGGTTTTTCTCTCTCTTGGTTTCTGAAAACACAGAAACTGTAACGTCTGACAGCACAGCTGTAATCATCTAACTCCGGGGTCAGCATGAGAACAGCCATAGACAATACATAAATGAATGGGCATGGCTGTGTTTCAGTAAAACTTTATTTACAAAAAGAGATGGTGGGCTGGATTGGGCCCGGGGGCCTTAATTTGCTGACTCTCAACTACTGAGAATCAGACATGAAAATCTAAGGCATAGCTATTCTGACCATTTTCTAATGAATCTCCTGGTGCCGAATGAACTGTGTTGCTCTCTGATGGATGAGAAATCACGAAGCAGATCACTGATCCACCTTCATGCTCTAATGATGGGCATGTAGGCTTCCAGCAATGAAAGGACTTGCCAAGGTTCACCAAGACACAGAGGCAAAACGAGGACTCAAACCCCTTCAACTTATTTCAGGCCAGCTGGTGTAAAGTGATCACTGCCAACTCTCTGGGGGCCTCCCAAGGCAGGAGGGATAGAAGGAGTAAAGCTAAGAGACCCCTGGCACAGCCAAGCTGCTTGTTTTCCTCCCCATTTAAAAACCTGTGGCAAAATACATGTACCACAAAAGATGCCATTTTAACCATTTTTAAGTATAGAACTTACTGGCATTAACTACATTCCCAGTGGTGTGTAACCATTTCCCAAACTTTTTCATCGTCCCAAACGGAAACCCTGCACCATTAAACACCCCGCTCCTGGTAACCACCACTCTACTTCCCCTTTCTATGAATCTCACTACTCTAGAGCCCTCAGCTAAGTGGAATCTAGTTTACGTATCACACAATATTTGTCTTTTTGTGACTGGTTTCTTTCACTTAGCATACCGCTTTCAAGGTTCATCCATGTTGTTGCAAGTATCAAAATCTCCTTCCTTTTTAAGGCTGAGGAATATTTCATCGTATGAAGAGGCCACACTTGGGTTAACCATTCAACTGTCGGTGGACATTTGGTCATTTCCACCTTTTGGCTACCGTGAATAAGGCCTGCTGTGAATGTTCGTGCATAAGGTTTCGTTTGAACAGCCATTTTCAGATTTGGAGGAATAACCCTAGAGGTGGACCAGGGGGGTCATGTGGTAACTCTGTTTAGCTTTACCACAGCCTGTTTCTTAATGTTCTTTACTTTGGCTTTATTCACTTACTATTTATAACTTTGACCTCTGCTGGCCCCAGCCTTTCCCAGACATCTAACATGTATCATACCTTCCCATTACGGGAAGCTACAACCTCTACTGACATCTGCTTAGCAAGTGGTCACACACACAAGATGCGAGTTACCTCCCTGCTTGGCTCTGCCTGCAGTGTAGCCAGTACCTGAATCTTGGAGCAGTGTTTCATTTTGTCCTCTTGGGGAATAGTGTTTGTCACAACAACAGCCTCAAAGGCGGCATTATTTATTCTGGAAATAGCTGGCCCAGAGAAGATCCCATGGGTAAGGATAGCATAAACTTTGGTGGCTCCGGCCGAGAGTAGCCTATAAAATAAAAGAGAAAAAAACTAAGTGCACACAAATATTCTTGAAGCATTCTCCCCTCAGTGTGAATTTAAAAGCAATAGTGTGTTCCATAAAGGAAAACAGGGAACCAATTTCACTCACATTTATCAGTCTAAAACAGGATCTTTTAAGGTATGTGCTGGCCAAACACTTTACATTCCCTTAAATCAGGGATTATCAGCCTTGACGTTGGGCCCGGATAATTCTTTGCTGTGCAGCACATCCCTGGCCTCTACCCAACAGCAACACCCGTCCCCTCAGTTGTCACAACCAAAAATGTCTCCAGATATTGTCAAATGTCTCCCAGGGAACAAAACTGCCCAGGTTTAAAAGAGTAAAGCCAAAATGTCACCATGTTGCCATACAATCAATACACAAAACTGAGGTATTATACACTCTTTGTTTCGTTCTGTCTCTGAAACCGGCTGTGCATTCTACCCTCCCAGCACATCTCAAGTCAGACGGGCCACAGTCCACGCGTTCTGCAGCCGTGCATGGCTGGGTGGTGGCTCCCACGCGGAACAGCCCAGCTCTAAGTCCCTGGAAGCCAACGCTGAGAAGGCTGGAGTGAAGGCAAGCCAAGGAAGCGAGGGCCTGAAGAGGCCGAAAGACTGTCTTTTTCCTCCTGTGCTCAGTTTCAGGAGAAGCACCTTCCCTGAACTTCTTTAAAAATACACTGAAAGTTCAACCTTGAAAATGAAAACCAGGCCATAAAGGACCACAGTTTTTTCCCTACCGAGAAAAAAAAATAGGCCTAGAATTGACTTTGGTCTGAAAAACTACTACTAAGCTATCAGTAATAATTAGGAAAAGTGAGCCGAGTTTTTTAACAGCTGACATTCTTCCTTTCTTAATGAGACGCCCTGACACTCTCCTCAGGGGTCCCAAACCACACGCATACTTGTCCGCAGCATGGCAGATGGTGCCACATGTGTCGGCCATGTCATCCACAAGGATGGCCACGCGGTCCTTCACATCGCCCACCAGCACCATCCGGTCCACTTCATTTGCCTTCTTCCTCTCCTTGTGAATCAAGGCAAATTCCACATTCAACCTGTCTGCGATTGACGTGACCCTGCTCAAAGACACAGACAGACACGGACTTAGAGAACAAGCTTATGGTTAGCAGGGGGAAGGTGGCAGGGAGGATAGATTGGGAGTTTGGGAGTGACATGTACACACTGCTATATTTAAAACAGATAGCCAACAAGGACCTACTGTATAGCACAGGGAACTCTGTTCAATATTCTGTAACAACCTAGATGGGAGAAGAATTTGAAAAAAGAATAGATACATGTATATGTATAACTGAATCACTTCGCTGTATACCTGAAACTAACACAACACTGTTAACCAACTATACTCCAATATAAAATTAAAAGTTAAAAAACATAGATAGGGAAAAAAATTAGACTAATTCTGAAAACGTATTCCCAAAATTATATTAAAAAACTCTAGATTCATTACAAAAAAAAAAAGACACAGACAGATACATCAAACACTGTCAATACAAAAAAACTTGTGTTCTTCACAGCTGTATTTTAGGACTGTCGTGACCAGCCATACTCAAGATAATGCAAGAATCAGGCCTCCCTTGCAAAGCCAGGCCTGGTCTGGGATATGTATTAAGCGACGCAAGGGGAGAAACATGCTAGGATGTGGCCTTGCATTTGTGGCAGCTGGGGAAGAAAGCCAGGGCGCCTTGACCATGGGCTAAAACTCCTGGCTAAGCAGCTGACACTCAACAGGTTAGTGTTCATGGGTACCTTTATTTATTTATTTATTTTTTTGCGGTACGTGGCCTCTCACTGCTGTGGCCTCTCCCGTTGCGGAGCACAGGCTCCGGACGCGCAGGCCCATCGGCCATGGCTCACGGGCCCAGCTGCTCCGCGGCATGTGGGATCTTCCCGGACCGGGGCACGAACCCGTGTCCCCTGTATCGGCAGGCGGACTCTCAACCACTGTGCCACCAGGGAAGCCCTTGTGGGTACCTTTTAAAGTGAGGGGCACAACTAAAAGCAAGTTATTTAGAAAATACTAACTGCTCAGTGTAGGGAGCAGCCAGTGGGGACAAAGTCCGGGTGAGCGCAGCCATGTAATCTGTACGCTTAGGACAACGGGCTTCACGGGACACGAGGCCTCCGGACACGGTAATCACAGTCCAGGCCTCTGCACAACTAGGGCAAATGCTCAAAAGTCATCAGCTCTGAAAGGCCTGAACTGGCAAAAGGAGGAGAAGGTGGCAGGCCAGGCTTGCTAGTGAGCCTGGAACATTCCAGATTTTTCCTGTGAAGAATAGACTTCAATGATGAAACAGTGCAAAATAACACCATAGACATAAGGTGACATGAAGATTTTCCCGTTTCACTTTTTGAAATGAGGGTCACTCCTGATGCAATTCAGCTGAAAAACTTTTTATCGAGGGACCAAAACATACACACTCACACACCCTAATTTAGTATGCAGCGACTGGAGGATGCAACCTCTGGACGCTTTTTAAGTCGTGGTCCCATTCACTGCGTCCTCCTCAGCTGGTAACCACGAGTGGCGCCCCATGCGTGCTCTGATCAAGCCGAGTGTGGCCAAGGCACTGAGAGGAACCCACTCTCTGGGGCCAAGAGCGCAGCATGAAGGGGACTGTGTACCACAGGTTACACCTGCTTGTTTCTGAGAACATTCAACAAGTATTTTTTTAAATTGTGGCATATATATAACTAAATAGAATTTGAATGCTGACCAAGATTTTGCCCCATAATCGCCCTAAAACATATACTACTATCTATATGCCAATTTCATAAAAGATAAGCCATTTAAACTCCCATTAAGGAAAGCTAGTTTCTCAGAACGCAAGACAGGTTTTCCCAAGAAAGACTCTTGAACACCTTATGTACGTGCGTATACATTAAAATTCTGTTTATTTGTAAGGACCAGGAAGATCTCAGTGCGGTGGGGAAGCGCCACCACTGGGGCTGAAGTTTGAAGCAACTCAAGTCCAAGCATAACCTGCGTTCTGCCATGTGATCCGCTCTCCTAAGCCTGTGCACAAACACACCAGCAGGGGCGCGGAGGCCTGCGTGGGAAAGAAGCTCAGGTTTTGGGGGTTGGGGACAGGCGTGGAACATGAGTGGGGGAGCTCCAGCCACTGCAGGTACCCAATGGTAACATCAGAAGCAGAGAATAAAGGAAAATATCCCTGCAAAAAGCCCCCTGGGTTGCGAGAACATTCCTATTTCTCCGCAGGTTCCAACTCTTCTTTTCCTGGTGTATAACTGAGACTTAACACCTATTCCTAACATACGATGCTGAGACAGTGTATCATATAGAAATCTTGGGTGGAAAAAGCTAGGACAAAAATAATACATAGTTTGATTTCCATTTCTTCTGGATACACTATTACATTCTCTTTAAAAGAAAAGAGAAAAAAGTCAAATCTGAATTATTTAGTTTCACCAACTTCCCAGACCAGTTTTACGTTAATACTGACTATCTCAACAGTGGTGTGTTTCCTAAGGTTTATTTTTTTCTACCCACAAGTGACCTCTTGTGGCGATATTAAGTTTTGTGGGGATACTAACTTGTACCTGGAACAAATCAAGCCTCAAAGTTTTTTCTATGACAACAAGTTCCAATTTGTCAGATAGATATCTATTTTTCTTGGTGAAATACGACTTCTTGCATCAAACAAAGAAGCCACAGATAATGTCAACTGTACGTATCATGCGTTACCTGCGAGGCTATTTTGTCGGTTGGGGAACAGCTTACTCCAGGATATGAGGATGACAAGAATGTGTAGCAAAAACTGGTGAGGAATGGAGGTGACAAAAAACCGGAAATGCATGCCCCTAAAAAGCCTGCCTCTCCCGGCAGAGGGGGAGCAGGGGTGATCGGAGCGGAACTACTCTGAAGGGGATCTGAACAAAAACAGCATCTTGCTACTGGCCATTTCCTCTGGCTAGCTGACTCTGCATTTTTTGAGCAGGAGTTGGCAAGTAGATGGGGGAGCCTGGTATATAATAAAAGATGGTATTTCAAATCAATGTGAGAAAAATTGATTACTGAATAGTTCTGGGGACAATTCAGATAGCTGGGGACAGGGGGAGTTGGATTCTTAATTCACTCTTTATTCCAAAACAAATTTCAGATGGAAGAAAAATCAAAACATTAAAAAGGAAAAAAGCAACCCTTAAAACATATGAAATCATGGGAGAAGAAAAATGTTAAGGGTGATCCTTCATAAACCCAGAAGCCATAATGTGAAACAGAGATAAATGTGAGTACATAAGCATGTTTTAAAAGTCTTGCAGAGAAGAAAAATACAAAAAGGGAAGAAGTGAAAAACTTGGGGACTTACTTGCTACACACGAGAAGAAAAGATGTCATTTCTTGCCTGCACAGAACTCCTAACAAGCCAGAGGAAGAGGCCTCCAGCTGACAGAACATGCAAAAGGTAAGAACAAAATATGAACGTGCTAGAAGGAGCGCTCAACCTTATGCACGCAACTGCAATTTACAGGAGGAGATGCCATGTATCACTCAGCCGATCTGTAAAGTAAAAGAAGTCCGATCATCTGCTGTGTAAGCAAGCCTGTGTACAAAGTCACTGGCATCCATACTTGGGAATGTCAACTGGTCTATCTTCTTTTTTTTTTTTTTTTTTTTGGTACACAGGCCTCTCACTGTTGTGGCGTCTCCCGTTGCGGAGCACAGGCTCCGGATGCGCAGGCTCAGCGGCCACGGCTCACAGGCCTAGCGGCTCCGCGACATGTGAGATCTTCCCGGACCGGGGCACGAACCCATGTCCTCTGCATCGGCAGGTGGACTCTCAACCACTGCACCACCAGGGAAGCCCTATCTTCTTTTTTTTAAATTGAAGTATACTTGATTTACAATGTTGTGTTAGCTTCTGGTGTACAGCGAAGTGATTCAGTTATACATATATATATATTTATATACTCTTTTTCAGACTTTTTTCCATTATGGTTTATTACAAGACACTGAATATAGTTTCCTCTGCTATACAGCAGATCCTTGTTGTTTATCTATTTTATATATAGTAGTTTTATCTGCTAATCCCAATGGTCTTCTTTCTTTTTTTTTATATGTGAATTTTGAGTTCATATATTTTTTAAATTAATTAATTTATTCATTTATTTAATTTTTGGCTGCACTGGGTCTTCACTGCTGCACGCGGGCCTTCTCTAGCTGCAGCAAGTGGGGGCCACTCCCCGCCGCGGTGCGCAGGCTTCTCATTGCAGTGGCCTCTCCTACTGCAGAGCACAGGCTCTAGGTGCACGGGCTTCAGCAGTTGTGGCGCACGGGCCCAGCTGCTCCACAGCATGTGGGATCCTCCCGGACCAGGGCTCGAACCCATGTCCCCTGCATTGGCAGGCGGACTCCCAACCACTGCGCCACCAGCGAAGCCTATCTTCTTTCAAAGACCAAATTTTGACCCTGTCCATCAAAACCTAAATAGCTCATGCCCCTGGACTTGGCAACAGCAGTTCTAAGAACGCATCCTACTTGTACAAGTATATGAAATGTGAAAGTGAGTGTCGTGCTGCAGGAATGTGCCTAAGAACATAAACAACAGCACCTACTAAAGAGGAACGTGAGACTGGTTAAAGGAATCACTACATCCGCACCCAAGGGCCTATCACCCAGCTGCGAAAACCAAGAAAGCAGACCTACTGCACAGCTGGGGAACTGTTGCTAAGGCGGAACACGCTTTGAAAAAAAAAACAGCAAAGAAGTATGTGCAGCATAACATCATCTGTGTGAAATAAAAAGGGGGGGTATATGTTTGAAAAGCATAATTCTGACTTTGGGAAGAATAGAGGTCCCTCAAGAAGGAAATGGGAGACATCACCCTATATATAAAAAATAGGGTTGGGGGCTTCCCTGGTGGTGCAGTGGTTGAGAGTCCGCCTGCCGATGCAGGGGACACGGGTTCGTGCCCCGGTCTGGGAGGATCCCACATGCCACAGAGCCTGAGCGTCCAGAGCCTGTGCTCCACAACGGGAGAGGCCACAACAGTGAGAGGCCTGCGTACCACCACAAAAAAAAAAAAAAAAAAGGGTTGGGATGGAAAAACACAAGGCCACAGAAGTTTGTGGAATCTATTATTCTTTTGGCCTGTTAGCTATCAAACTGAGTTGTTCTGGTCAAAAAAAGAAATATGCCTGACACGAAAGCCACTTATTTTATGATCCATCCATATGAACCGCCCAGGGAGACAATTCCCTAGACACAATGGAGATTAGTGGTGGTCACAGGCTGGAGGGAGAGGGAGTGGGGAGTGACTGCAAATGTTCTGGAATTAGACAGTGGTGACAGATGCCTAACTCTGAATACACAAAACCCACTGACCTGCGCACTTTGAATGGGTGAATTGGAGGTATGTGAATTACATCTCAATAAAGCTGTTACTAAAAACAAGTTACGCCTTATGCTCCCTCGCAACCCACTTGCTCACCTCTAACCTTCGAGCAGGCCAGTGCATTCGCCTGCAGATGCCACTGTGTGACTTCAGTAAGTTTCTAAGTAACTGCAAGCATCTCCAAGAGAAGTTACTCCAAAACGTTGCTCTCATTCCCCTGTTGCCTTAAGCAGACAACACTCTGGGTTGCTTGCACCCGAAGGGGAGCTTTTAAGTTCGATTCTAGGTCCTTAGCTTGGCCGTGGAAGGGATGAGGGATGGGCATTTGCATTTTAAAGTTGTCCCCAAGCTTGATGGTCACCACTCTCTCGTGGCAGGTTTACTAGCGTGCACAGACTTACGAGCTTCCTTGCTTTCTCACAGGACTGGTGGACGGAGCTCTCTTTCACCTCTCCCTCCCTGACGGAGGCCCCTGCCCGGGCATTAAAACTTCATTCCGCTCTTCTCCCCGCCAGAGAGCAGCTGCACAGTTCTACAAGGTGACTCTGACTCACTGAGTCTCGGAGCACAGTAAAGCACTCTGCATCAGCGTTCCCTCATCTTCACCCCGATCCTCAACTGTCTGTACTGATTGCTCTTTAATTCCTTGAGTCTCTGTAAAGCCCTCTGGATTTGCTTCTCAGTACGATTATTTATGCCATTCAGTGCACCTGCGCTCTGATGCTTTTAGTGCCATGTCAATTTCCGTCCAGCATCCTCCTTTTACAGCCCAGTAACTGTCCTGTTGAGCCCACGGGGCTGGCTGCCCGCCGCCCTGTTATCTGCAGGCGCTGGCTCTCGGTGGGCTGCGCCCCCTCGGCTTCCTAACTGGGATAGTCAGGCACAATGAGGTGGTCTTCAGCGGGGAGTGCTTACTGAACAGCTGGGCTTGTGGAATTCTCCCTCGGCCGTGGCTCTGTGGCCTGGGGTCAATTTTCCCAGCATCGGGAAAGACTGGCTTTCCTCCCCAGGCTGCAGGGAGGGGTCTCCCTGCCATCTCCCTTCTGTCTGGAGGCCCCCATGAGGGCATTATAGCCTCTCCCAAGCCACCCGCCTCTTCCTGGATCTGACACCCATACCCCAGGCCACCCCGAGCACGGCTGTCAGCCTTCTTTATTTCTGGGCCACAGACATCTCCCTTTCTTTCCGGCTGCTCTGCGGACACGCATTTTAAAATTGTTCTATCTTGGCTTCCATTTCTAAATGTTTGTAGTAAGAAGAACTAGCTTGGTCAATCGTGTTGTTAAGTAAAAGCCTTATTTTCCAATTAGGCTCATTGCTTTTATAATCAGAAATGAAAACTTAAAAAACTCAAAACAGGGCTTCCCTGGTGGCGCAGTGGTTGAGAGTCCGCCTGCTGATGCAGGGGACACGGGTTCGTGCCCCGGTCCAGGAAGAGCCCACATGCCGCGGAGCGGCTGGGCCCGTGAGCCATGGCCGCTGAGCCTGCGCGTCCGGAGCCTGTGCTCCGCAACGGGAGAGGCCACAGCAGTGAGAGGCCCGCGTACTGCCAAAAAAAAAAACCAAAAAAAACCTCAAAACATTCTTTGCTGAAACCAAACGTCTGTGTGTATTTTTTTTTTCTTTCATGAATGATGAAATGTTAAAGATGACAGCTCTCTGCTCTGGAGGTGAAGCCTGTTGGCTACTTACTTGCTTATTTGCAAAATAAACTGTTCAGTAATTGAAGACATGCTTCCTTATCTAACACATACGGAAAGGAAAAAGCAGTCGGCAAACACACAAATCTAAATCTGCCTCATGCCGCCTGGGCCTGTGCAGTACCTTTTGGCGCCCCCGGCGTCAGGTGAAACAATGATGCAGTTTCTCCACTCGGTGATGTTCTCCCGAATCCACTGCAGGACCGCGGGCTCCGCGTACAAGTTATCCACGGGGATATCAAAGAACCCCTAAGGGGAGAAGCGGGTGTCACGTTATTGCAGGGTTTTTAAAAAGATCTCTTTCATGAGATAAAACTTGAATTTTTTATTCAAAAGAAGCCTTTTCAACTGACTCCCCTTTTTCTTTTTTTTTTTTAAATTGAAGTATAGTTGACTGACAAGGTTGTGTTACTTTCAGGTGTCCAGCAAAGTGATTCAGCTTTTTATATATATATATATATATATATATATATATATATATATATATATATATATG